TTCTTTTTTTTTTTTTTTTTTTTTTTTTTTTTTTTTTTTTTTTTTTTTTTTTTTTGGGTTGGGGGGGTTCCCCCCCGGCCCCTTTTTTTTTTGTTTATTTACCTGTTTTTTGCTTTTATGTATACTTCCATTTTTTTTTTGTTCTTTTTTTTAATACAAAAATTCAATTGCGTTTATGTTTGGTGGTGATGAGATAAGTTTAAGCTCTGTTTGTTTGAACTGCAAATTAATGGTTGAAATTTTCACATAGCGAAGAGGATGTATTTGAGGTTCCAATTGTGTTCATGAATATCACGTCGATATGTCATGAATTTTGCAGGAAACATTTCTGTGTGTTGTTGTTTTATTTTATTTTATTTTTTTGTTAGTATCTATCAGTTTAGTTGGATTTTTTTGACAAAAATATTATTCCCTTGGCAATAAATTGAGCCTTCAATATTAAGCCTTTGGGCATTTTTGAATGAGGCAATCAAATTAATACAATGCTCTCATTGGATTTGAAAATATTAATTTAATATGGGTGGCTCAAGTTCCATTTGGCATCAGGCACTTTTGTTGTCAGTAGTTTCGACCGAGTTCCCTTTCTAACTGCCTCATTGTGGAGACATTTTAATCTGAGTGAACTACTTCCCAGGGAAACATTAAAAGTTTTCTCAGAAAATTATTTGAATAATGGGTGATATTGGAAAATTTTATTTAATTGGAAGTTGGAAATGGAAAATTTTATTATTCAATTGATTCCGCCCCAACCCCCCCTCCCTAAAAATGAGTGCTTACACTGATATTCAATTATTTCATTGACTAAAATTACTAAATGGACAAATATTTTTGTGCAACTTCATTGAATGAGCTATTTTTTTTCTCTATTCCTTCGATAGGCAGTCTTGTTGCAGGGATTGTGTCGAACACATGCTATTCCCTTATCTGAATCATGTTGTGTTTGGGATGATACTCACACATATTGAAGTATCCATGTAGACTCTTTTTTTTTTTAAAAAGTGTTAAATTGTTGACTACTGACTCATCTAATTAAGCTGTTAGAGAGATGAGTAAGTATATTTATGTCCTCCACACATCTCCTCACGTGTGTCAGGCTTTCCTCCATAAGTGGGTCAAAGACGTGCAAGTATTATAATTATCAGGATGATCATGGAATATTTTTCTTTAAAGATGATATATAGTAGTTGTTTGGCATGTGCTAAAATAGCACATACTATTATAGCACATTATCCTATTTAGGTTACAATCATCTTATTTAAGTTGCATCACATCTCTACCACATCACTTCAAACCCAACTCATATTTCATTTTTTTCATAAAAAGTCAAAAAGTATACTAATCTAGTACTTCTCAAACAACCCATAATATGGGTATGATCCTTTTTGTTAAGTACCTTAGTATGCTCACTTTTCTATTCTCATAACGGAACAAAGACATTCTTAGGACTCATTTTTGTTAATCCAGAGTTTATTTGAGGCAGCTCTTTTAAAATGCTTCTGACTTCTGAGCTAAAGCAAAGGTGTTTAACTACTTATATATAAATCAACAAATGAAAAATATGATAAATGTAGGCTGGGGTTAGTTCAGTTATCTGATAGGGTTTATGTTGTTTCTTCGCATCTGCAGACAAGGACAGGGAATTGGGAGATGCACATGCAGAAATCAAGGCATTAAAGTACTCTGAACGTGTAAAAGAGAAGGCAGTAGAAGAGGTATTTTAATTGGTTTTAGCTCCAAGAGTTTGCTCATATCTGTACCTTCTCCAGTTAATTTTTCTATATCAACAAGCAGGGTTACCTATGTGTTGATGGATATGAAATCGTGGCCTTTCTCTGACTCTATGGTCAATCCTCATATTTTCTTACCAAGAATTTCTAGTTTTGATGGTACTTCTTCAGCTGATTGACAATGACAAATTTCGTTGCAATAGAACTAGAACTTATTTTTCTATAGCTCTAATAACTCATTTGAACAAAATGAATTTTGTTAATCACTAATATTCAACTAAAGGAGTCAAGAAACACTAATATGCATCATTTCTAGAACTTGAACATGTTTTAAATTCAGATATCCATATTCTATTGAGAGCCCTCCCGAGGAGCTGAACTACATTTTCATGGCTGATGTGATGGGAATCTCTTTTGAGAGGCTTCATAATTAGGCTTGTTTATTCATCTCCTTGCACCAAAAAATATATTCTATTAGAAGTTCACAAGATTAACAAACTGAGGAGCATCTCAAGTAATAGGATGCGGCAGCTAGTTGTAATGTCCCAGATCTAAATTGTGGGTCTACTTTGAAAATTTGAGCTTTGGTTGAGGATAGGAAAATGCCATTGTAGTTCACTTGTTCTGCAATAACCTATAGGTCTCTATCATTTTGAGGCCTCATTAAAATTATGATGGATTGTTGAGCAAGGTGCCTCCTTGGGCTTTTTCTTAATGGTTGAGCTTGCATTGCATGTCTTGCTTTTTGTTAGGCATTTTCCCTTTCTTCATTTGCCTTTGAAGGATTCCACATTCTATTTTTTTCGTATTTCCAAAAAAAAAAAGTGTGGTTTTTATATAGGAGAAATAGAAGTTTAACGTAGGGTTTTCAGAACTGCAAAGTGTGCATTCTCTATCTGTTTACTATTTAACTAATCTTCCCACAGTAATTGTTTGTGTGTAACCTTTGGTCTTTCATATTGAGCTTGTTGAAGTGACATGTCTATTTTTCAGTCAATACATCTCAAGGTGCATATATTGTCCTGATGAGGCTGGCTAATGCATAAACACTTCGTAGTGAAACATTTCATCAATCAATACCAATTACAGATTTATTGACAGTATGTCATTTGCAAAGTTGAATATCTGGCGGTGAAATAATTTTCATGGATGTTTGTAGGCCTTGTCACTCACCGTATGTCATCTTCACTTACTATAGTTAGTTGATGAAAGAATGGAGCTCTTTGGCTAAGAAGTAGGATTTTGTTGTTTTTTTTGTACTTTATCCTTAAATTTGAAATATTCATCTTCACTTGAAAGAACTTGCTAATACAGAAATCAAGCTCAACACCAAAAGCTTGGATTAAATAGTCTTGAATTGATTTTTGACACATTCAAGGATTAAGTTATAAGTTAAATTTACTCTCTTTCTGAATATATTTATAGTGATGTTGCTCATTGATTCTTTTGGTCAACGCCATTGTAGCTAACTGGAGAACTGAATAAAGTAGATGAGAAGCTAAAAGCTACTAAAGCTCTTCTGGAAAGCAAGGTACTTTGTGTTGTGATTCTGTTTGTTGAAAGCCAGCTCTTCGCAGAAGTTGTATTCTACATGTGCTGATGGGTTTACCTTAATTTTCTAGAACCTAGAGATTAAGAAGATAAATGATGAGAAAAAGGCAGCTTTGGCTGCACAATTTGCCGCAGAAGCAACCCTTCGAAGAGTCCATGCTGCTCAGAAAGATGATGAGATGCCTCCTATTGAGGCCATAATTACTCCACTGGAGGCAGAGCTAAAACTAGCTCGGTTGGAGGTAAATATCGACTTCTCCAACAATGACTTCATAACTTTCTTTCTTTGCTCTTGAGTCATGGCCATGGTGTACTTTTTCCTAACTAAGCATGGTCATGCTGTACTAATAACATCATCCATGCCTACATATCGTGATTGATGTAGAAAGCGTTAGGAAACACTCTCGTTGTAGCTCTGATGCCAAAGTTGATATAGGATGGTATATCAATTGGTATATTCGTTGTGTTATTCATCTAAAATCATCTGAGTTAGTTGTCTAATTTTTTCCTTCTCCATAAGCTAACTCGACTTGTTAAATAAATTTAACCATATTCTGTTTAAAAAGAAATCAAGCTCTGCATTTTTTATTACTTACCTCACTGGTTTTTTGAGTTGCCAAGAGACAAAACGGGTCAGTATATAGGTATACTGGTATGAGTATAAGATTTAACACCCACGTGTCTATCATACACAAACAAAAATACATTTAATTCTTGTTACGGGACAAGACAAGTAGTTCGAACCGCACTGAGACGAATAGGTAGTTTCTCAAGATACGGTGGCATTTAGTGTAACGCCCCGTATTTTATTACTCGGATAACCTTACCAATATTCATTAATTAAGTCCATTTACAAATAACATTTGATCATTGGATGAAATGATGAATAATTAAATATACATATTCCCTCTCGTTATACAACAATGACATTTACATACAAATAAAAGAAATGCCCTGAGTCTTACAATAAAAGAAAGGACACTGCTCTTTACAAAAAAATAGCACTCAGCCAAATAACAAATGAAGTAGTACAATCCATCACTAAATTACACTTATGAAATGGTAAAAAAAAAATCATTGTTTGATCTTCAAATCCGAAAAGCATTCCCTGTACACATGTACAGGCAGGGGGTGAGTAACTACTAGCTCACCAAACAATCTCATATTAAAATATTAAAAGATATGCGAGTACCAAAATAGTCATACATATACGTGAAATCATATCATGTCAAAACCATAAGATTCTATTACCTAATCTCTTGAACCTAATTTATTTTAATTAACCACAACTAGTTAATTTAAATAAATAAACACGCTTCAAAAGCAACATGACATCCTTTTCAATTCATTTAATTACCCATTTGTCAATGGAATCAAATAGTTAAACAATTCATAATGACATTTAACAAAGCATCAATACATTTTATACAATCTTATGAGATGAATGCATATGCCATGTCATGCTCAAAATATTTTTCTCATCTTTTGAAAATCTTATGCACAATGCCAATTTGAAACATATTAATCCAACAATTTCAATAAAATTTCAAGGTGGTAAATACGACTCAGATAATCCTTAGGCTGGTGTCTGCAAGTAGACTATAGAAGTACTACCACTTTGTCATTTTTACTAGTATTAACTGGAAGGCTTGACACCTATAATCTGTCATTTTTACCAGTATTAACCGAAAGGCTCGACACCTATAATCTATCATTTTTACTAGTATTAACTGGAAGGCTCGACACTTATCATCTACACCACCTTTCAAGACTTACCACGGTATTTACTCTAAAATCATTTCATGAAAACTTATTTCCCAACATTCATTTCTCATTGCAAAGTTTTCAAATCAAATTTCAAAACTCATCATTATCAAATGAATTGATATGCCAATGTAATGGTTAATAACACAATGCAATATTTCTTCCACTTTCAATACTTCCACACAATATTCCCATTATAATCAAAATTCTCATTTTTCATAAATATTTTTATTCCAATTCATCCGTGGGACAACAAAATTCCCACACTTAGAGTAAACTCAACCATTTAGTCACTTCAAGACTATATCAACATTTTTAACAACAATTTCTAAAACTTCAACAATTCTCATATTCCATGAAAGCCATCATTTATATGTAAACAAATAAACAATTTTTCAAATATCATTTATTTTGGCACACAAAATAAATATAACAACATATTCAAAGTTTGTCAACATCTTTCTTAAAAACCCCCATTTACTAGATTTTCTCAGCAAAAGTACTCATCTTCATTTATTGAAAGAAAGTCACCAAAAACATCTCTCTTCAATCCTCATAGTTCAAAACCCTCAATTTCTATTTTAATAGGAACAAGAAAGTAAACTCATTTTCAAAAAAAAAAAAAAATCTCTCATCTTCTTGAATCAATAATCAATTTTCAAAACAAATCAAAGGATGATTTCAAAAATCATCTAGATCTTGCAAAAAACATATATATAACTATATTTCAACATAACCATTTTTCATGCTAAGCTATTTAAAGAGGTAATATTGTTACCAAATTCTCTACCAATAACAATTTCACAACTTTTTCTAAAATTACTTGACCAACATGATATTTACATAAAAAATTATGAAATATGCCCAATAGTAACAATTTCAAGGTTATGAGTTTGAAAGTCCACATTTCACATTTTTATTTTCATAAAAATGAACACAACTTAATTATCAACATATCATCTTTTATAAAATATCATGAATATAACTGCGCGGGGAGCAAATATTCAGGCAAGCCCGCACTCCTTTCTTCCAAGCTCCGTTTCTGTCCGATCACCTGCGTGCACAACAGCAGTGAGCTACCCGGCGGTGTGTGGCCGGAAAACCCCTCCGACGATCAAGTCAGACACACACACACATAGATAGAGAGAGGGAGAGAAGACTGAGTTGAGTGTAAGTATTTCTCTTACCAAATGTTCGTGTGTCCAGCATGGGGGGCGCAGACTTGCTTATATACCTTCTGCGCCCCAAATTTACCCCCAGTGATCTCGCGACACGTGGTTCTGCTATCCCATCTGTCAGCACAAATCTTGCTGAACATCACCTAACTCGACTGCCAACCCACTCTACTGGGAGCTCGGTAGCCGGGCTGAATCTTCTCGGCTGTCAACGGCCATGTTGCGTTTCATGCCCAATTGCTTCCCAGAACTGAGATCCTTTCCAGCCGTGCTCGGCAGTATTCCGGCGAAGCCGACCTTGAGATTGGTCATACCGGTCAACCCAAGGCCTTCCAGCCGGGATTCTGGCACAAGCTTCTCGGCCAGGCTAACGGTGCGTGCCTTTGACCGAGCAACGCAAGTTGCACGGTTATCACCTACGCAGATCCAAGTAGCTCGGTCCATCTCTGAGCAGCCCCAACTCCGGGCAAATCCAAAGCTATCGCGGCCCAACGCACCATTGGGCCTCCAATTTGCTCGGCCTCTAACTCGGCCCATATCCGGCTCATAATTCTCCTTCTCAATAACACTTTTAAAGTTTTTAATCCCAAAACAACTCTATAATCCTAACTTAAGCATTTACTCAATATTCATCAACATAAATTTATTTTTCTCAAAAATAAATTCCAAATTAAAGATAAAAAAAATATTTCAACTTAATATTTCTCAAAATAAATTATCTAATCATAATAGGATGTAAATACAATCCATACAACTATTAAAATTAAAATTTCAGATTTTTAGCAACAAAATTTCAACACAAAGGTGGTCTTCCCAAATCAACCTCAAAATACCACTTTTCTTGACATTTCAACATAATCATTCTTCCAAAAATTACCTAACAAAAATCTAGAAAAAAAAAAAATGCAATACCTCTTATAACGATATATTTTCTCAAAATAACCCTAACATAGCTTTGATGTAAAAATATGAAGAAAATCTCTACCTCAAATATGAAGAAAAGCTAATCATAAAATACAAACATCACCTAATCATGAATCCGAGAACACCATTGTGAAGATCGCGACGAGCTCTCCAACTTTCATTTACAACACTTTTGCAAAATCTCACTCTAAGGACTCCCATTTGAAACTCAAAGATTGAGCAACAATGGAGAAAAAAGAAAGGGAGAGAGAGAGAGAAAGACACGTTGAGATAGAGAGAAAGAGAGCCGAGCTCTCTGCCAACCCAATAAGAAATGAAATGAGATGAAAAGGAAAGGAAGATGAATGATGGCCAATACAAAAAGGGGGGCAACCCATGTGGGTTTGTCTTCCCAAACCTTGGTATTTTAAAAAATATATATATATATATATATATAACTTTTGTAACAATACTTTCAAATTTTATAATATAAATTATAAAATGATATAATTTTTCTTACTACAAAATATAATATTTTTGTACACCACAAAATATAATATTTTGATCACTACGAAATATATACATTTTCATTCTTTATAAAATATATAATTTTTCACCATATGGTACACACCATGTAGCGATCCCAGTTTTGCCACTTCGCTGAGTATGTTGGGGATTGAGCTGCCCAGTCAGCTCGTGGGGGTCCAGGGGGTAGTGCCCGTTGGTGGGTCCTAGGGCAGCGCTTTGGTGGGGTTAAGGGACAGCGCTCCCGAAGTAAAAATGCAAAATGCATTAGAAGTTGCTTGTCCGCTCGAGTGACCGTTTATGCATTCGAGCGGAGAATGTTTGGTTTCAGAAGTTTGACCTGTCTGCAAAAGTACTAGGAAAATGTATTTGACGTTCGAGCGGGGCTTTCCATGCTCGAGCGGACCATGTTATATCAGTTTGTGAATCTGATATTTTACATCACTTTTGTATATCTCTTTCTCTCTAAAAACATTTCCTCTCCCTTCTCTCTACAATTTCCTACGCCAAATTGGATCAAAATCTTGATTTCTCAAGATCCATTAGAGTTCTGCCATAGGTTCTTCATTAAAGTTGGTTAACCTTTCGAGGGCTTCGTTGTGTGCGGTGAAGATCGAGTTTCGACATCGTTGATTTTGGGGGTTTCATCTCATTTCTTCTTCAAAACTTTAGGTAGAAATTTTCTTAGAGTTATATATATATATATATATTTGCAAGATTTAGATGATTTTCCAAATCATCCTTTGATAGTTTTGAAAATTGATTGTTAATTCAAGAAGTTGAGCGATTTTAAAGGTGGGTTTGTCTCTTGTTCTTTTAAAATGATCTTATGAGTTTTGATCTTCGTTGATTGAAAAAAAAATGATTTTGAAAAGTTTTCTTTCAAAAGATTTGAGTTGTATAGTTTTGGTGAGAAAATCTAGAATTTGGAGATTTTTTTAAAGAGACTAAAAATCCATGAATGATATTGTTATATTTATTTTGTGTGTCAAAATAAATGGATGTTTCAAAAATTTCTTATTTATCTTTATATAAATGATGAATTTCAGAGAACATGAGAATTGTAGTTCATTTTGAAAATTATTGTTCAAAACGTTGAAATAGTCTTGAAATGACTAATTGTTGAGGATACTTGAGAAGAGGGAATTGTCCTATTCCTTGGATGATGAATTGGAATAAAAGTATTTATATTCATTTTGTGTTATTGGCATATCAATTCATTTG